ATGAAGAGCTCCTTCGATCAGTGAGCATTTAAACGTTGGAGTACAGGCGTCTCACAGGTGACCTAATGGATTACAGCATCCTTTTGGACATCCCCTTAGACACCTACTTTAGCTTAGTCTCAACACAAACGTTAAGGGTAACACTTAGAAACTGGAAACATACTACAGCGGGATGAACTGTAGACACACCTTCTACCTCATAAGAGCAGTCAATCACTGAATTCCACTGCCGACTGAGCTAGTCAAAGTGAGTTCCCAGGAGTCCCTTGAGCGAAAACTTGTCATATTCTTAAGGACTGAGGACAGTAACTCACTACTATTCACTAGTACTTTTCTTTTTCCTCTTTTACCGTCAATGTGCTTTGGTTCCCATCTGTGATTCACTGCTACTAGATACGGAAGCCCGTTAAGCAAAAGCTTCTTCTATTCCATCCGGAACCATTCGAACCATTTAGATATTTAAACAAACCACCCTTTGATGCTATAAACACACAAAAGTAAGGAATAAATAAATTATATATTTGTAATATCCCAATGAGTACTTGGATTGCTAGTACTATTTAAATAGTACTATTTAAACTTGGATTAATATTAATTTGGTTATTTATTCTCTGAAGAAGTGGCTTACACTGAGTCACGAAACGTCAGAAAATCTAATTTTTCTACTCATTGGGATATTACAAATATATAATTTATTTATAACAATCTACCCAATGCTCAATTTATTCAAAATTATCAAATCAAGTCTTGGTAATGACACCTAAAAAGTAAGGAATATTCTCAATTTCAAGCGCCACTGTGAAGTGGCCCGCGCATAGCTAGAACATACTTCGTGTACTTGGGGAGCATGCACATTAGCGTGAGTTAGGAGATCCGGAAAAGAGAAAAGTGGACAAAAAGTGGGGTCGGTGACAAAGGACGTACACACGAAACACTTACACTTGATAGGAAAGGCACTGGACAGTAGTCGGCAATGACAGAAGCCTCAAATTAATATGATCTAGCAGTCGAAATAGAAACCCCGCAATTGCAAGGCTCGGTCGGTTTCCCGCGCGAAACATGACCCGATCTCCCAAGTCGTCGATAACCATCCAGAATCCCATAGTATGCTTGACGCAACTGTGGTCACTACTCCAACCAACGTTGACGAACGGGCTCAGGTTGTAAACAAAAAAACAACCTCACGATGTAAAAGGGAATCCTGCCCCCATCAAAGTAGTCGAGAGCTTGAAGACTGATCACAGCGACAGATCATTCATATTACATAGAATCAAGGAGAGCAAAAGCTCGTTTTGAGCATGACATAGTGTTCATCAAACAGCTACTCAATCAAGTTGTGCCTCAAAGTATCTCCGCAGTCACCTTGCTAAAGGTGTATAGACTGGATAGAATAATCACTCCAGACTGCTCAGAGCATTATTCAAATCTCCAAATGATTTAATTTCACAAAATGGACATAAAAAATAAAAGTTTCAGGAGTTTTTCTCCGTAAGGACTTACCGCTGGCGAACCGTGTAAAAAGATGGGAAGCCGAAAAAGAACTGCAGCTTAGATTAGACGCTTGCGAAAAAGACCTAAAAATTGTAAATTTTCGGGTTGCGATGCTTCGACAGAGGATGGTGCCGAAGCCACTCTGGGTGAAGTATGATGTACAGATTAAGTCTCCTAAGCCAGACATAATCTCAGCGCAGAAACTTGGCTGACACAGTCGATAACTTGTAGGGAACTTGATTTCGAGGGTATTACATTAGTAAGCGCCGACAGAATACAAAAGCGTAAAGGAGGGGAAGTAGCTCTATTCATTGAGAATACAATTCCATTTTCCATTATGGACAGTGTATCCCATGAGATTGGGGCGTGTGAATTAATTAGTTGCCGCTTGAAACGTAAGGGACAAGTGTTGCTGATTGGTTTGGTCTATTGCAGTCCAAGCTGTGAGGTAAATGAGGTCCTGCTAGGCAGTCTCAAGACACGGTCACGAAGTGGTCGACGTCTAATTCTAGGGGACTTTAACTCACCCATGACAGAATGGGGAAGTCTGGGAGATGAATCATCAGATAATTCCTTCCAGCATAAACTAGTTGATGCGGTTATCGCATATGCCATAGTGCAACATGTGAAAGAAGCGACTAGGTACGACCGGGGCTCTGAATCATCTTTACAAGATCTTATATTGACTCATTATGAGTATGACGTTGCGAACCTTGATTACATGCCACCACTAGGTAAAAGGGATCATGCAGTTCTAACCTTTGACTTTCCAATAACTGTCAGTCACGAGCACACGTTAGCTCAACCCAAACTTAACGTCTGGAAAGCAAACATACAAGACGTCATGCACTCAGCATCGTCAGTATATTAGAAAGTAGACCCACAGTCCTCAATTGAGATAGCTTCGGACGTATTTCTATATTTGTACTCAAAAGTAACCGACTCCAACATCCCCTGAATTAAACCTGGGGGGCCGAGAACTCCCCACTATGTTTAAGGAGGGGGATTCGCGTCCTTCTCCTTAAGAGAAGGAAAATGTGGGGTAGATTTAGGTTACCAGGAACTATCAAAAAGCTCGGAATACCTGTGCCTCGACCCTCCGTATGTCTAGAAAGCTGTACGAAAACTGTTGAGGAATCCACAGAATGTCCTAAACGCTTGTATTCCTTTATAAACCTGTTGTATCCCCTGGCGAATTATGAATGGTAAATCTGAGGTCTATTATGGACAAATGTAATATGTCTATTTCCTATTGTATAGTTGTTAAATAACTGACCTAACCGTATTCGTGTCCCTCTTATCATAACCTTTATTCTGACCTTCGAACTATTGTTATTGATTACTTTCCCCCTATCCATAGCCACATTGGCCAATTACTGTACAAATGTTATTTTTCTATTTTTTGGTATAATTGGGTCTGTTTGGTTAGTATATAAACCCAGTATGCTTGTGAATAATGATTCATATTACCGAGGCTGTTATTTGTGTTCTGGACTCAACTGGCTGGGTTAGGCAGATCGCAGGATCGGTTAGCACTCTAGTCTGCTCGTTCGGGTTTCGAGTCACTGCTCCAGTCGATAATTCGCTGCTCTCTAATTGACGGTCTCATCACCTCACCCATCAACTAACAATCCACTCGGCCACAGATATAACAAAACCAAAGAATAAAAAGAAGAGGAAATATTCGTGCACTACGAGGAGACAGTACTGTCTCATCATTAGTGGAGGACGACTTTGGCAAAGCTCAAGTATTCTCAAACTAATTCAGCAATGTATATACCATGGAAACACCCCTCCCGCCAGTCCACGAAAATCCCCCCACACAAACACTAGACAGCGTGACCATTAAAGAACTCGATATCGTTGGTCTGTTAATTAAGCTTGACATACGCAAATCCACTGGACCCGATAAACTGCATCCTAGGTTACTTAAGGAATTAGCTAACTATGTTGCAAACCCCTTAAGTATATGTTTTAATCTATCTGTAACCCAGGGTCGTTTACCGAAAGACCGGAAGAACGCCGTGATAAATCCTGTCCTCAAAACAGGCACGAAACATAAACCTGAGAATTACCGACCCCTTAGCCTGACTAGTATGGCTGCTAAAATCTTAGAAAAGATTATTCGAGAGGAGCTGTTTAAGTACTCCGATGAAAACCGGATCCTTTCGGAGATGCAGCATGGTTTTAGAATTAGTTATTCTTGTCTCACTAACTTATTAGTCGCTCGTGAAAGCTGGAACAAAAGTGTAGACATAGCCTACATCGATTTCAGCAAAGCTTTCAACAAAGTTCGCACAACCGGCTGTTATATGGGCTAAGAAACGTCAGGATTGAAGGAAATCTATTGATGTGGATAAAAGACTTCCTATTTGGGTGCAAACAAATAGTAAGGGTTAAATTTAAGTTGTCTTGCTGGGAAACGGCTTAGTGGAGTCACCCGGGGTACAGTTTTAGGGCCAGTGCTATTCCTCTTTTACGTAAATGACCTCCCTCGTCTACTATCGTCATCGGTCTTGCTATATGCTGATAATGTCAAGATATGGAGAGCGATACAAAATAAGGGTGATAGCTTAGAACTCCAAAACGACTTGGAGAAATTATCTGAATTATCCCAAACCTGGCAGGCGCTTCCAGGTGTGATGCTTATAGGTCATCAAGGTACAGATACATACACGATGAATAACACTGAACAACCTATTGTGCAGACACTAAATGACTTGGGAGTCATCTTTAGCCAAGACATAAAGACTAATGCACACTGCCGTGCAATAGCCGCCAAAGGTTTAAAAACTTTATGGTCAATACTTAGGGCTTTTAGTCATATCGACGCTAAAACGTTTTTAACTTTGTTTACAGCGTTCGTGCGTCCTCAACTTAAGTACTGCATACGAGAGGCTAGCCCTTGCCTAAAAAAGGACAGTGGGCTTTTGGAAAGGGTTCAGAGAACAGCAAATAAGCTGATTCCTAGAATAGCGAAGCTCCTGTGTGACGATAGACTGACCAAGTCAAACATATTCCCGCTGTCATATCGAAGATCCAGAGGAGACTTGATTAGATTTTTAACTTTGCACCTGATATGCCCTCATTTTTCTTGTCTTCCGAAACAGAGAATTTATGGGGACACTCCAAATAATTTCACAAGCCCAGAACAAATTACTTGTCAGCTGACTATTAACTTTCACATCCAACCATCAACGAGTGGAACTCATTACCTCAGCGCGTGGTTGAGACACCATCCGTCGACTCTTTCAAAAGAAAATGGGATCAACTGAGAGACCATCATTGCCAGGACTAACACAGGCCATCAAGCCTCCTGTCCCTTTCAAACTGAAGCAAACTAAAAAGCGCGCTAAAATAGGACCAAATTAATGTAACATAATAATCCTTAGTGAATAAGACCAATCTCTCCTAAGTTGATTCAGGGATATAACGGTTTACTGATTATGTCCAGAAAACTTGAAATTTGATATAAGTGCATTGCTCTTTTGTACTTTTGGTTTGGCGCCGTATAATTATTAGGGATACAATTCAAGATGGAGGGACGTCCAATTTCGGATCTTAAAGTTGCTGAGCTTCGTAAAGAGTTAGAGAAGCGCAACAAAGATAAAACCGGCGTTAAACAGGTGTTGCTGGATCGTCTTAAAGAGGTTTTTTTTCGCCTAAGCAACCTAGATTTTTAGACTTTAGAAAAGGATGGTCACGATCCTCAGACCTATCGTTTCAGGGATGATGATAGTGTTAAAACTGACCAGGAAGTATCTGATCATTCGGTATGTGATCACTTTATTCAAACTTATTTCTTTCTAGCCTGTAAATGGTGATGGACAAGGAGCTGGTAAGTAGTTTCTCCGTGCTCATTCATTTGCATGATCACTGCAAATCATTTTGTTTCACTTTTATTTAAAAGTATTGGGTTTAGGAGTAGGATGCTTTTGGTCCCTTAATTCAGCCGACAATATCGTGGATATGTTGGACTCATAACTTATACGTAACTGAAAACGGCGATAAAGCATTTGACTCGTCAGTCTAAGTCATTATGTGCAATGCGAGTACAGCTGTAGCGAACACTTAGTTTCGACGCTCATGGACTCGAGTCTTTACCTAATCAACTAAGGGGATTGTCAACCTGTAATCTCCATGTCATATGTATTCAACAAATCTGTCATACTACCTGAAAAAGCCTGACCCTGTGTGCAAAGTCGTAAATGTTGGATGATCTTTACTCTTAGTGAGTTGGTCTGCCTTCTATTCAACTGTAAATGGAAATCTGGAGCCGTATTTGATCTAAATATTCAGGATTCTTTCTGAAAAACCCGTCAAGTAATTAAAACAATAGAGAACTGTATTTTATGCTGTTGTAGTAAGAATGTTGCAAACAAATGGTTGGTCTTTAGTTTGCTTTAAACCATTACCACCCGAAAAGTCCAATGTTGTTCATATTCATCACCGCTGTTGCGCAGTTACTTTGGATTATGCAAGCTGTGATAGGTCGGCATGTATTTTCTCCGATTCATATTACATTTTGAGGTTAATGACTATGATTAAGTGAGGATTGTAAATTAATATGCTCATAGTCAAGTTGTCCGGTGACAACTACTGATTCTCCGATAAGTAGGGAGCATCGAACCTACGCTAATCAAACTAATGGTAATAACTTTCTACTCTTATTCTATTGAAAGAGAAAGTTGGATCCATCACAAAAAGACGTAGTCCGTCAGATGACGTATTGAGTGATGAATATATCAGTGAACATTCATTGCAGAAGAAAATTACGGAAGAAACTGTCCCATACGTTGTCCAAGTTGGTGAGCAAGAGGAAGATTTAGATTATGATTTGAAATGTGGAAATAATGACGTATCCGAAGTTGCAGGCGATAGCAAAGATATCCAGACCAAAGATGAAGAACTTGGCAAACATGAAAATAAACCAGAAAGGTTCGTAAAAGTCTGTCGAATGATATGATTATATTTATCCGCTTCTGACACAAGCTGTTTCTTTTTTTAGTGCAGTTACTACTCACCAGATTAGTGGTATGTTCCATTTGGTTAAGTCATACTTTACGTGTCAGAAAGCTGTAGAAATTTGTGGATAAGTAACTTGCCGAAATTGGTGAAGGCTGCAGATTTAAAGCAACATTTTAGCAAGGCGGGGAAGGTATGTTTTTTGCCAATCAGGATAGTTTTTCAGGTAGTATCAGCTACTGTGGTTATGAGCACCCGCACACCTGGAGGTTGCTTTGGATTTATACAGATGGCTTCTGCTGAGGAGGCAGCATCTGCTGCTAGAGCCTATGATTTAGCAGAGTTTGGAGGATGCATACTGCGTGTTGAAGCTACAGAGCGAAAAGCACCAATTCAGTCAAACAAAACAAATGATCGAGTAGCTGGATTAAACAAATCAAAAACTAATATGCCTGATTCTCGGCGGACGGTATCCAAACCGTTGGTACCTCGGAGACGATATATTGGTATGTCAACATACTTTTGTAATTGTTCATATCATTAGCCAACAGACAGCGACAATTGCGTCGTGCTGCCATCAGAACTGCTATTTTGAGGGAACAACGGAAAAGGTCTGAATATTTGTCCGTTAATAATCGTCCACATCCCACTAAGAAAACTCCTATCAGAAGGCCTTTATACCAGTTGACTAGACCAAATTATAGAGTGTCAAAGGATAGTTTGGTGAGTATGCTACAAAGTAATACTATTTATGGAGCGGTCAGTCTTGTAGTTGCATTTCGAACGCGTATTATGCAGTGTGTTATGATATCTAATCACCGTTCGCTAACCATAAGAATGTCACGTGGTTTCGTGAAGTTGCTTTTTGTGTGAAATTGCGATAAGATTTTCATTGGGGATGAAAGCTTCAAAGCCTTAACATAGGTGCTTTATTGGATAGTTCACATGTCCCTGTGAAGTACGAAACCTTGTTGCAGAGGTAAAGTACTTTTACCAATTTAGTTATTTTGTCGTCACATGTAAGTATTAGAGTTATCATATTTGGAAAATGGCATGTAACAATCCCCAACTTTCCAAAAGACCAACTGCACGTTTATCAAAATATATAAAGAAATTTGGGCTATTATCCGACCTTATATATTGGAGAGAAATTCAACAATTTACATCAATTCTTCGGAAAAGCATTGAAAACAACTACGTCAAGTTTCTGATGTGTATTTCGTGAAAAATCCCAAGATTCGGAATTAAATAAATTTGTTTGGCATTTGATCCTAAAAAGTGCTGAAGTATTCGTGGGATTTTATTAGTTTTAATTACTTATCTCATTGTTCATGAATGTTTTTGATCTATACATTTTATAGCGTTCACGAGGCGGTCTGGCCCTTGTATCTAGACATAAAAGTATTTCACAGCGACAAAGCTCTTCACGGATCAAGTAAGTGGATAACTGATCTTGATGTTTCTTGGTACTTATTTTAGTAAATAGACACAATTTACTAGCCAAAATGAAGATTTTAGGATTTGACTCATCTTGTGGACCTAACATTTTGTCCCCAAAGTTAGACTCACATTCCGTACAATCGTTCTCGAAATGTTTAGATTCTGTTTAGGTGAACCCTTTACTACTCAAATTTTCGTGGTTTTGGATCGACTCCGTTGCTAATTAAATAATCCTAGGATTTAGCTATTGCTACTTTGGGCATCTTGTCATAGTTTTATTTTCGGTTAAGGGGTTTTCCCACATACCCTGGTATCAAATTTTCATAGATTTTAAATTATTTGAATTCAGTGTTGCAACATACTAAGGGTCTATTTTTAGAAACACGAACATACTGCTCATACTGTTAGGTTGGCAAAACCACCGTTTTCAAATTGAAACGGTGTATAACCCTCACTAGTCGCTACGTTACTCCATCACTGAGTTTATATTAATATCCTTTGTTATAATAGTACCCAGGTAATTTTTGAGCCATATACCTACTCAAACTACTCGACTAAAGGAGTCAAGAAGTACACTTGATGTAACGCGCAGGTAATTATAACTAAGAATCCGAAGTTTCACCAATAAATTCTGACCAGACCGGATCTCTACTTAGTTTTCCCTAATTCACCGAACAGATGTTTCGGTTCTTTCATATCACGGATGTCACGAAAAAGTGTAGGATTATGCAACTTTTTAATAGTAGCAAACTAACTTTTTTTCTTATTGTTTAATGATCTCAACATGGGTATGTAATGTTAATCCACAATTATCAATTATTTTCGTTTATGATTCTTTACACGGTGCCTCGCGTTTTGAATCTGTCGTGGAGTCATATCAAAATCTTGCAATCGGTCCCAAAAATCCGTGTAACAAGAGGACGGCATTCTAATGTTAATGCTTATCTTTCCCACCATCGTCTGCATGATGGCATCATCACCAGAGATTGTGGTTGTCCTTGTAAAACGTCACAACCACCATTCCCTAGTACATGCAGTATTACAATTTCTCACTCAAACCTAAAATTACCTGATTTTAGTCTTACCACTCCACAACTGACCTACCTTGGTGGAAAATCAATTAACAAACGTTCCAGTTATTATACCTTATCTGGGTCATTATGTTAACGGCTGCTGTTGGGTTTCAATAACAAACAGTCTTTGGGTGCCATAAGTGTATCTAAACGTTTTTTTCTACTTTTCGTTTAGTTACCCGAAGAAATACCAGTTTGGCCCTTGTGAACAGTTTCAGACTTATTAATATACGTGGCATCATATTTAGTCTCACAACCTGTTACAACAGTGGAATTTTGCTCTGTCTTGTAATTGATGTAGAACAATTAAATACGTCTAGTTATTCTTAAGAGTAATACTCAACTTCGTATTTTTGTTTGCTCAGTAACCATGCAGTTCTAGAACTTTAGCTCTTTTTGAACGTTTTAGCACCAATCATGGGACGCAATCTCTGTTACGGAGAAGATTAAATTATACTATCAATAGAAGGCTACGTGAGCCGATTCGTGTCCACAAAAGTGCCAGTATTTCACGTCGGTCGTCCAAATCATTTTTGCCTAGAGTACGCAGAAATCCAAATATATGTCCAGAAAACCATCGAACCTATCTTTCTCCACCTTCCCGTTTAATTCCCTTGGATTCGCTTACTTCAAAACGAAACCCAGCCTTTCGCAGTAATCGTCCTGTAGAAAGAGATTTACGCGAACCGTATCGCCCTGTTTTGCCAGAACGAAAGTACCATCCTCAATCACCTGGTCGATCACATGAATCAAGTCGGTACTCACGAAACATTCAATCATCAGTCTATTCAGAAAGAAACACGGTGAAGCCAGTATACGACAGTCGTTCTCGTCAAAGTCACTTGACGACTCGTTCTGAACCTCGGTAAGTCAGCTTTACATATATTTAAGTGGGAATATTCCTTGAACTTCATTTTCACTTCTGGTTTGATATTTATTTGTAGCACTCCCTAAAATCTATCGAGGATGCAGAAGTATATTTATCTGAGTGAAGTATGTAAGTTATCCTTGTAAAACTTGGATTCTCATTTAAGAGTTATATTCGTCCTAATAGTTTGAGACTGCACATCAGTCGCATGTGATATGCACACTGAAGATCAATAGGTCTACAATACTGTTGTGGTTTGTCTACTAGTGTAAGTGAAGATTTTCGCATTGAATCATATTGATTGATTAATTTTACTTAAGATTGTTGTGAAATGTTAGCAAGGTTTTTTTTAAGTGTTAAGAATTCAGCCCAAAAAGCATTTTGAATTCATGGTTAACGATGTCTGTTTTAGACAGGCCAGTATACATTTAGTGTTAATACGGTAATTTAGTAATATACCAAGTACATCTACTTACATCGGCTTCATTTAGGAATTTTTCAAATTTACCTACTGAATTACATAGTTTTTAATAAGGATATTTCGTCTTTTAAAACCGTTTGTTATGTTTAACCTAAATTAGTGGTTATTTTTGGTCTGACCTGTTTTCAGCTATTTACATTCATTGTTACTTTAACATCCCGCAAAAATTGGTGGAGTTCAGGTTATCCGTAATGTTTGTAGAAGTAGTTATTATGAAGGTGGCTTAAGATTTTATTGTTCCCGGAGTTAATGATCTGAATACAGTGGTGTTATAAGAGATAAAATCAATATCATATTAGTAAAAATGGAAAGAATAAATATATGTTGTTCTTTGAATTTCACACTTAATACTCCATAATTCATGATTGTATAGTTCTGATATGACCGTCGTCATCATTAGATTTTGTTGCCATTCGATAAGACTAAGGACAAAGCGACCATCTAGTACTTCCAAGTTTTTAATAATGGTCTAACATTGATCACTTCATGATCTCAATAAAAACTCAACAATCTCCATAACCCATTACTGATAGCTATAAGCAGTCGTTTTTTAATTAATCAATTCATCTTTTCCGTCATATTTTCTAACCCCTAGTAAAATCGTTTTGACTCTGTTATGCCTGAAACTAAATCGATTCCGCGGTAACGAACGAAAACCAAATGACACAATGACACGATAAGCTATTCTAATCTGTTGTCCCAGGCCCCGCTAACTAGATGAAGAAGTCCAAGGCAAGTAGGGGAATATACATGTATTCCGTAAGCAGCCGAGTACAAGCAATCAAATAAGGGAAAAAGTCAAGCGCATTTATACAGTAACAAATTGTCCTTGAGCACCATTAGTAAATAGCACACATAAAGAAACAAAGGACCAATAGCGGTTAAGATAGTTTACAGGTGGGAAATATGACGTGAAGGTAAAAGAGCGCTTTTGGCGCGAAAACAGCTAAATTCAAATTTTCAAAATAAAACTACAAGATTAGGCCATTTACCAAGTAAGTTCTGGGGATTTGACATCCCCAACACCTCCCCTTTTTAGTAACGGACATTCTTTGGGTCCACCTGCATTCTAACTGTCTGTCGCCGTTGGCGCAGTGACCATCTTCGGGACCGTAGATCGACCTTTTGATCTTCTTCATGCGTTGGGACTGCCGGCAGATTAAATGTATCCAATAGTACGTCCAGCGGAATCTTTACTTCGGTCGATGGGCGCTCTGGTGTTAACCGCTTGCGTAGTTGATTTCGATGTCTGGTCCATCTGTCCGTTCCTACCTCAACCTCATACATGACTTCTCCCATCCGTCTAACCACACGTGCTTCGATCCAAGGGTCACGATTTGCTCTGTAGTCCCGAGCGAATACTGGGCATCCAACGTTGTACGTGGGTAGCTTCCGGGACGTGGTTTGTATTAGTGGTGGTGTGGATTTCGGCAGCATCAAGTTGTGAATGGTCCTCAGCCGTCTTCCCATGAGGATCTCTGCGGGGGACTTCTGCTCCGGCAGCGTGTCGTTGGGGGTCGTTCTGTAGGCAAATAAAAAATTCTGCAGTGTTTCCACTGGCGTCCCCTCCCCTTTTGACTTAATCAGAGCCCTCTTGAACGTATCCACGAACCTTTCCGCTTGCCCATTCGATTGTGGGTGGTAAGGTGGGGCGCGAAGATGCCTGATGGTTAGGCGTTTGCAGAACTCTTGGAACTGCGCCGAGGCGAACTGCGAACCGTTGTCGGATACAATCACTTCCGGTAATCCGTTTCGTGCGAACAACTCAGTCAAATGTTTCAGAGTCTGGGTGGTCGTTGGTGGAGTGACGGGAACAATCTCCGGCCATTTTGAGAAGGCGTCGACCACGACAAGATATGTGGTTCCGTTGACTGGACCGGCAAAATCGATATGTATCCTAGACCAGGGATGCTCAGGCTGTGGCCATGGGACCGGCGGTACCTTCGCATTGGACTTTGCAGCTTGTTGACACTGAGCACATTTGTTTACTAGATCCACGATATGCTGGTCCATGAGGGGCCAGTAAGCATAGCTTCTGGCGATGGATTTCATACGCTTTATGCCTGGATGACCAATGTGGAATTGCTTCAGCACCCTCGGTCGTAGGGATTCTGGCACGACCACTCTATCTCCAAACATCAAGCATTCATTTACGACACATAATGAGTCACGACGATGGTAAAGCTGCTTCATGTCACCGTCAAGTTCAGTTGATGGCCAGCCATTGGTGACGTAGTTCATCGTTTTCTTAATGACGGGGTCGTTTCTGGAAGCAATTTGTATCTCAGATTCTAAGACTGGCAAAGCACGAACAGCGGTTGTCAGGTAGCATTGCGCGTGGTCTTCTGTCGAAAGAGAAGCGATAACGGCATCTTCATCGGTCGTAGAGTGTTCGTTGATGAGTCGTGACAATGCGTCTGCTTGACCAAATTGTTTGGTGCGTCGATACTGAATGTCAAAATCATACCCCAAGAGGATCAAAGCCCATCGTTGGAGACGGTTTGCAGAGTGGGCCGGGACGCCAGATTTCGAACCAAAAATTGCGAGAAGGGGCTTGTGATCCGTAAGGAGTGTGAACCTCCGACCGTACAAAAATTTGTGGAACCGCCGCACCGCAAACACCAGGGCGAGAGCCTCCTTCTCTATCTGACTATACTTCCTTTCTGCCGGGGTCAGTGTTCGGGATGCGTCACTGAACTTCTGGGACTGAAGGCTGCAAATGAGGATAAGGGCTTTGAACTGGTCTTCAGATAAAGACTTTAACCGGAACCGTTCGCATTCACGGTTAACGATGCCCACATGCGTAAGGAAGTCATCGTCTTCGTTCATAACCAGCTTCAAACATCGGTAACGGGTGTTAAACAATGATGAATTGTCCCCAAAATGTAGGCTTAGTGTCTGGACTGTGTCTGCGAAAGAGCGATCACGTGGATTCAATGGCAGGATCAAATTGCAGTACCTGTCCAGCTCACTTGCACCCAACTTCCGAAGTAGCAGTCGTACCTTCCAAGCATCATCTTGATTAGCAAAATCAAATTTAAATAGGTCTTCATAACGCCGGAACCACATGTCAAAAGTAACGTTTGCATCAGGATCATAATGAAACTCAGCAATACTATTTGCGACGCCGTCTACTGATGGTGCTGTGGTTGCATTAGCTGTGCTAGGCTGTGAAGGGGGCGAAACTTTCATGTCTGTCAGCATTTGTATGAGCTTCAGCTGCTGTTCAAGTAATGATTCGAGTTTAGAAGGATCCATGTTTCCAAACCACCGTCGCCAATTGTTATGCCTGAAACTAAATCGATTCCGCGGTAACGAACGAAAACCAAATGACACAATGACACGATAAGCTATTCTAATCTGTTGTCCCAGGCCCCGCTAACTAGATGAAGAAGTCCAAGGCAAGTAGGGGAATATACATGTATTCCGTAAGCAGCCGAGTACAAGCAATCAAATAAGGGAAAAAGTCAAGCGCATTTATACAGTAACAAATTGTCCTTGAGCACCATTAGTAAATAGCACACATAAAGAAACAAAGGACCAATAGCGGTTAAGATAGTTTACAGGTGGGAAATATGACGTGAAGGTAAAAGAGCGCTTTTGGCGCGAAAACAGCTAAATTCAAAATTTCAAAATAAAACTACAAGATTAGGCCATTTACCAAGTAAGTTCTGGGGATTTGACATCCCCAACAGACTCATACCTTGGGACGACTTATACCCTTGTTTACATTTATTATGACCAAAGTATATTTTAACGTTATTCATATAAAACGAGTTGTCTAGTGGCTAGGTCATTCAACTGTCAGTCAATAAGTTCCAAGTTCAAACTCCGTCCCCTGCAATTTAGCTTGAGCAACCGAGTAAGTATCAGTAGTTATTATATTTAGAATGGTTCACACCCAAATACCTGGTTAATTAATTGATTCGACTTAGTTTTTGGTATTATTTCACGTACACTATACTATCATTTAAGTGCTTTATTTGGTAATAAACTATCTCCCCTACTTTACAGTGAATTTTCATTTGTTTGTGTATGTTAAGATTTCCTAAAATTAGGTAATTATATGAGTTTATTTCTATATTTGTATGTATATGCATGAACATTAGCTTAGTGGTAGTGATATGTATTTACCTATTATCAATCCTTTTTTTAGCTATACGAATTACAGCAATTTTGAAAGTCGAAAAATGCCCGTAGTCTCTCGTACGGATATGTATTCTGAGGAACGTTATCGAACTCATGATAGTCATCTATCTGAAGTACGCAGAAATCAGTTGAGGTCAAACCCCCCAACTTCACGAATGAGAGTTGAGGAGAGTAAACGAGTGTACCGTGCAGTTAGTAGAAGCCCACCAAGGTCAAGAGATTCTACAATGATGCGCCCATATCCAGTTTCTCTCAATCTCAACCGCCATCGCACGGAAACCAGCCATCGTGGCCGCAGTCCACTCATGTTACAGTCTACACCACACAGACCTGAAATTGTGGAGTATGAACACCGTTCAGGTACGTAATCACCAAGTTAATATGAGGAGCTCCAGCCGATTTATTTGTAATTCTTTTGTTGGTTATCTCTTTCTGTTCTATTGGTACTCGCATTGTAAGGTAATATATATCACACTTAGATTAACTGACTGCCTTATCTTTCTTTTTATCCGTAAGAAATCTGGGGCTTTATAGTCGTTTCTCGCTAGACCGTGTTTTTCACCTTCGTTTGAAACTCAGTTAGGAATCGATTGTTCGTTTGCGAATCTTAAGTCATAGTTACTTCAATTTCTACAGATTTTGCTTAGTCTTTTTGAACTCTATTAAGTGCAAACTGGAAATATTTTTTTCACCCATGGTTTCAGTCTTTAATTAGTGTTCTTATTCGCTTTGGTTAGGTTTTCATTAGTATTGTCTATTAATCAGTTTCAATTCCTGGCGTTTTACAATTTAGTGTGGGTCGCTTTTTCAAATAATAAATACCTTTGTTTATTTATATATCAATATCTTTACGGTCGGAGTCTAAAAAGGAATGCACCACAAAAATGAATACTGAAGAAAAATAAAGAATAGAATAAAGATGCAATAAAAATTAGAGGAGTAATCAGATATCGTCAAATCTATAATTTAACCAAAAACGAATAATTATGGTGCCTCTCATTACAGGAAGATCACTAGCTGTTTTTTTTCGTCCCATGTTTCGTAGTCTCAAGCTTTCTAGATGTCTTTCAAGTGGCATATATATAATATCATGTTAATGACCTTTTTTATTTTGATTGTTCAGTCACCTGTGTTTATTATTGAATATTATCTTTTGACACAAATGATGTTGTAAGAAACTGACAAAGGCTCGAAATGAAATAAACTCATTTTTCTGCTTTGATTGTTGTTTTTGCTTTATCCGAATTTCTGAAAAAATATCAAATTTCAAAACTGGAAATTATTAAAATATGTACATCGAGTGTTCCAAACAGTTTGTTTAGGTAAAGCGTTTTCCTTTTAATATTGTTGACTAGAAATGCCGTTATTAAACGAAGTACTGGAAGAAATGTCTATACAATTCTTTTATGGGCATCAGTCTTGTAGTGTATCTGACCGTTAATTTGTCGCGTCTAATTTTTTAAAAAAAGTGTATAGATTTCTATCAACTAATTTATTAGAATAGTTGATAAACCAACATATATATTCTTAGTTAGAATTCTATTTCCAGACTATGTGTAGATTTGTTTGTTCCTTACTTTTAAATTGTATTTTGCAATTGTAGAACCAAGAACGAATTGGCAAACTGAAAGACGTTCCAAAGTCCTCTCATCTCCATCACAGTCATGGAGGCCTGCAAACCATGCATTTTTCCTTTCTCCTACGTATGAAAATCGAAATACAGGTCGCCGATACTAATAACATTTATTGTTTATTATATGTATACCAATATACTATATCCAACTTTAACATGCAATTCTTTTATCGATTACATTTAGCGAATGTATTAATTTTGCCAAAACCTTTTATCCATGAAAGTGTTGGTCTACACTCATGCATATAAAGCATTTAATTTAAAAATGTTTTATCTTTGATCATTCGTACCCCAAATATGCTATTTATTGATCAACTGGCCAATTCTCGATCTAAAACACCTGATGTCATTTAAAAATTTGAACGTTAATTGAAAACATAATATTCGTAAATAAGACGAAGATTACGGAAAAAAGAGTTGTTACAAGTTAACATCCACAACCAGCATAATGCAGAAATCTTATTGCATTAACAATATAACACGAGGCACAATGATCCCCAAAGAGCGCTTCTTAACGTGAAAAGCTTCCAAGAAGGAATGATGTGTTTCAGTAAATCTTGTAAGCATAGTTGTGGTTTAGCCCCTGACAGTTGATGTATTCTCAGTGAATCTAGGAAAGTATCGTGAAGGTTAATAATGAATGTTTCATATTCAAAAGCGTGTTGCTGATTGTGTGATTTTGTGGGACGGTTCACGTTGTTCCTGTAGCAACTATCGGGGGATAAGTCTACTTTCGATCGCGTCCAAACTATTGGCTTCTATCATTCTTCGTAGGTTGTTTAAAACCCGAGAACGATTGACTCGCGAGGAGCAGGCTGGTTTTCGTGCGATAATGCCCAAGGCATGCAATCAGCACTTAATCAGTTGGCAATCAGTGTCCGCAGGTACGGCATGTGCTTCGCACCCTCCAAGTGCAAAGTACTCCTACAAGACTGGCAGGATTCTAATCCTGTACTCACCCTGGATGGTGAGCAGATTGAGGTAGTTGAGGAGTTCGTGAATCTAGGTAGCTATATAAGTGCTGGTGGTGGCGTGAGTGATGAGATTGATGCACGTATAATGAAAGCCAGAGCGGCTTATGCCAATCTGGGCCATCTTTGGCGCCTTCGTGATGTTAGTCTGGCTGTAAAAGGTCGGATCTACAACGCGTCGGTGAGAGCAGTTTTGCTCTATGCTTGTGAAACCTGGCCTCTCCGAGTTGAGGATGTTAGACGTCTCTCTGTGTTCGATCGTCGTTGTCTCCGAAGGATTGCTGACATCCAGTGGCAACACCATGTTAGTAATGCAGAGGTTCGGCATCGTGTGTTCGGGCACAGAGACGATAATTCAATTGGTGTCACCATCTTGAAACACCGACTTCGGTGGCTCGGACATGTTTTACGAATGTCGTCCCAGAGACTTCCGCGTCGTGCATTATTTGCCGACCCTGGGACTGGTTGGAGAAAGCGGAGAGGAGGTCAGTGTATGACATGGTGTCGTGGCATGAAAGAAAGCTGCAAAGGGCTAGCTTTTGTTGGTCCTTCACGACTCCCTGGTTGAGGTCCGAGAGATAGTGCAACACAGTGGCTAGAGACGTTATCGGATATGGCTCAGAATAGAAGCCAGTGGCGATCCTGCTGCAACCTTCTTTTACTTTCTACATAAAGAATGGTTCTAACTTTCCTAACTGAAAGAATCTTCTGGTTGTACATTTCAGCCCGCCTTATCTTTTCGACCTTTATCTACCTACTTTCATTATTTTGTGTGGCGCATATGTACCTGGTGCCCTTTTGTACCAATATATATGTGTTTAAATAAATAAATGTGTTGAACTCTGTTGATAGGTTAGAGATTAGGGATGACTTGAACAGTAATGTTGATCGTATGTCTGTTGAGAATGAGGCGGTTGTGTGCGTGTGTGTTGTTGGTGTTTTTGTTGTTGATCTGTTTGACTGATCGTGTTAGTATGATAGGGAGTAGTATTATTGGTTTTGATGATTCTGAATATGGTTGGAGTGGGGTCAGTGAGGGAGGGTGTTTGTTTGTCAGTGTCGTTGTTGACTTATTTATTCTGGGTTTGTAATTATCAGTGTTTCACTTTGTTTGTCAATGGTATTGATTATTCTATTTGCGTTTATGTATTAATATATGCGTGTGTGTGTGTGTGTGTGGGATTGTTGTAGTTTAGTTGTATTTGGGAGTGATTGTGGGATGTATTTCTGAGATGTGTTTTGTTGAGTGTGACGCGTGTTGATGAGGTTTTTAAGGTGTTGAGGGAATTAGGTGATTGATTTAAGTGAGATGTGTGGTCTTTGTCCGAGCTGTTCGATTTGGATTGATTGATGATATAGTGTGTTGTTCATCTGGGAGACGTTGTGTGTGGTGATATTGTAAGTGTGCGTGTTGATCGTTAATGAGGGAATGAATTTATTGTTGAATTAGTCTGGTTTGATGTGGTGTTACGGTTTGTGGTAATCTCTGAATATTGAGAATTGTGTTCTTAGTTTGCTGTAATGTGTGTTGAGGGTTTTACGGTAGTGGTGTGTGTTTATGTGAGAGTTTACATCTGAATGAGGTGATGTATTTCAGTAAATTTTGTTAGCACCGTTGTGGTTTAGTGTCTGACAGTTGATGTGTTCTCAGTGGATCTAGGGGGATGTATTGTGAGGGTTAATAATGAGTGTGTTGGTAATTGTGAGATTTTGTGGGAAGGTGGGTGGATGAGTGAATTGATGAGGCGGGGCAGTGATATACTGGTGTGTGTGTGTGTGTGTTGAAGTTTGTCTTTATTTACAAACAAACAAGTAAGTAATATTGGTGATGTGATTGAGATTAGTGTAGTTAGAGTATGGATTGTTAAAGAAGGTGTAGGTGTTTACGTGTTTGTTGGTGTTTGCGTAAGAACCCTTGTTGATCCGTCCTGGAGATGCATAGTTTTCAGGAAGCCAATGACGAAGGGGAAATGTTTTCTGGTCTCTTCGGTGAACCAGGATTGTACTGGTTCTCACTTAGCACCAGGTAGATGTGTTTAGTGTGAGTGTGACGAATGGTGTCTAGTATTGGTTTGTGTTGGGACGTGTGTTGAACTCTGTTGATAGGTTAGAGATTAGGGATGACTTGAACAGTAATGTTGATCGTATGTCTGTTGAGAATGAGGCGGTTGTGTGCGTGTGTGTTGTTGGTGTTTTTGTTGTTGATCTGTTTGACTGATCGTGTTAGTATGATAGGGAGTAGTATTATTGGTTTTGATGATTCTGAATATGGTTGGAGTGGGGTCAGTGAGGGAGGGTGTTTGTTTGTCAGTGTCGTTGTTGACTTATTTATTCTGGGTTTGTAATTATCAGTGTTTCACTTTGTTTGTCAATGGTATTGATTATTCTATTTGCGTTTATGTATTAATATATGCGTGTGTGTGTGTGTGTGTGGGATTGTTGTAGTTTAGTTGTATTTGGGAGTGATTGTGGGATGTATTTCTGAGATGTGTTTTGTTGAGTGTGACGCGTGTTGATGAGGTTTTTGAGGTGTTGAGGGAATTAGGTGATTGATTTAAGTGAGATGTGTGGTCTTTGTCCGAGCTGTTCGATTTGGATTGATTGATGATATAGTGTGTTGTTCATCTGGGAGACGTTGTGTGTGGTGATATTGTAAGTGTGCGTGTTGATCGTTAATGAGGGAATGAATTTATTGTTGAATTAGTCTGGTTTGATGTGGTGTTACGGTTTGTGGTAATCTCTGAATATTGAGAATTGTGTTCTTAGTTTGCTGTAATGTGTGTTGAGGGTTTTACGGTAGTGGTGTGTGTTTATGTGAGAGTTTACATCTGAATGAGGTGATGTATTTCAGTAAATTTTGTTAGCACCGTTGTGGTTTAGTGTCTGACAGTTGATGTGTTCTCAGTGGATCTAGGGGGATGTATTGTGAGGGTTAATAATGAGTGTGTTGGTAATTGTGAGATTTTGTGGGAAGGTGGGTGGATGAGTGAATTGATAAGGCGGGGCAGTGATATACTGGTGTGTGTGTGTGTGTTGAAGTTTGTCTTTATTTACAAACAAACAAGTAAGTAATATTGGTGATGTGATTGAGATTAGTGTAGTTAGAGTATGGATTGTTAAAGAAGGTGTAGGTGTTTACGTGTTTGTTGGTGTTTGCGTAAGAACCCTTGTTGATCCGTCCTGGAGATGCATAGTTTTCAGGAAGCCAATGACGAAGGGGAAATGTTTTCTGGTCTCTTCGGTGAACCAGGATTGTACTGGTTCTCACTTAGCACCAGGTAGATGTGTTTAGTGTGAGTGTGACGAATGGTGTCTAGTATTGGTTTGTGTTGGGACGTGTGTTGAACTCTGTTGATAGGTTAGAGATTAGGGATGACTTGAACAGTAATGTTGATCGTATGTCTGTTGAGAATGAGGCGGTTGTGTGCGTGTGTGTTGTTGGTGTTTTTGTTGTTGATCTGTTTGACTGATCGTGTTAGTATGATAGGGAGTAGTATTATTGGTTTTGATGATTCTGAATATGGTTGGAGTGGGGTCAGTGAGGGAGGGTGTTTGTTTGTCAGTGTCGTTGTTGACTTATTTATTCTGGGTTTGTAATTATCAGTGTTTCACTTTGTTTGTCAATGGTATTGATTATTCTATTTGCGTTTATGTATTAATATATGCGTGTGTGTGTGTGTGGGTGGGATTGTTGTAGTTTAGTTGTATTTGGGAGTGATTGTGGGATGTATTTCTGAGATGTGTTTTGTTGAGTGTGACGCGTGTTGATGAGGTTTTTGAGGTGTTGAGGGAATTAGGTGATTGATTTAAGTGAGATGTGTGGTCTTTGTCCGAGCTGTTCGATTTGGATTGATTGATGATATAGTGTGTTGTTCATCTGGGAGACGTTGTGTGTGGTGATATTGTAAGTGTGCGTGTTGATCGTTAATGAGGGAATGAATTTATTGTTGAATTAGTCTGGTTTGATGTGGTGTTACGGTTTGTGGTAATCTCTGAATATTGAGAATTGTGTTCTTAGTTTGCTGTAATGTGTGTTGAGGGTTTTACGGTAGTGGTGTGTGTTTATGTGAGAGTTTACATCTGAATGAGGTGATGTATTTCAGTAAATTTTGTTAGCACCGTTGTGGTTTAGTGTCTGACAGTTGATGTGTTCTCAGTGGATCTAGGGGGATGTATTGTGAGGGTTAATAATGAGTGTGTTGGTAATTGTGAGATTTTGTGGGAAGGTGGGTGGATGAGTGAATTGATAAGGCGGGGCAGTGATATACTGGTGTGTGTGTGTGTGTTGAAGTTTGTCTTTATTTACAAACAAACAAGTAAGTAATATTGGTGATGTGATTGA